TGAGCTCTATACAATTGTTATTGTTTATATTAATTAATTCTATTTATCGAAAACAATAATATAAGGGATTCAAAAAGCCCATATTTACTTTTAAAATATTTGATTTTTTATGCTTTGTGCATGGCTCAACTCCAAAGATTAGTATACTATTTGAATTGAAATGTGAGACCATTTATGTTTTGGTATTTATTTAAGATTTTTAAAATTTTATTAGGTATTTATTTTGTAATTTAGTAAAGATTTTAAGATCATTTATGGTATACTGCTGCTTTTTTTTTTTTTCAATAAATAATGAAAAATTTCTCAAGTTATTCTGTTATTTAATATCAGATACCTTTACCGTTCTATTTGATTCTGAAATTTTATATCCCCAGAGAATGTTTTTGCGAGTAGAGTTGTTCCAGGTATCAAGTCCTAGTGGTAACATATCAGTAAGTTCAAAATCACTTAATTTTCTTAATCAATGCTTTACAGACAAATTTTACGAGAGGAAAAGCAAATTGAAAGAAAGTGTGCTGCTTGTTTGTGGAAGTTCTTACCTTATATATAATGCGTCTTACAATTTTTACTTTACACACGTTAATGTCACTGTTAACATTTGAAAAGTTGAATATCTATGATTTTGATTGTATTTGAGAATATTGTAAAGTGCTGTGATTGTGCTTTTTTAATATTTTACTATGAGTAGCCTTAGATGCAAAATCCAGTATCATCAACATTCTTCAGACTCCATGGATGTCATCTCAAGCACAATCAAGGTAATAAGCGGACTAAAGAAGTGGCCACATGGCAGGGAACATGGTACTGATATTTGGAGTTAATACCTCATTGGATGATCATAGGCGCACAAAGGTTCAGTTTTGCGCAATATATAAGAAGTATTTTTCTCTTACATCTTTATGATTGCCATTCGTTTTGTATTATCAAGTTATCACCGCTATTTTTTGCCAATTAATCCATGAGAAGTAAGGGATGCAATTATTATAACTAGAAAAATCCTAGAAAGAGCTCAAAAGGAGGGACTTTAAATATTCCTAATTAAAAAAATGGACAAAGAATCACAGTAACAAAATCACCCAAAGAAAAAAAAAACACCTGAAGAATATATCATAATGTTATAGGATGTCACATTAGTTAGAAACTTCATCAAATTTTCATGTTGAAACTATCAAGTTTGAATTTAAAAAAGAATGAGAAAGAGGTATGAGAAGCAAATGGATAATTATTTTTGGTTGTGCACTTTATTATGTAAAAAAAAAAAAATTTAACTTGTGTGTTTAGGGTATATGTTAAGTATATTTTTTGCCATAAATTTATAGGGAAAAATATAAAAATTGATATTAATTTTAATGTTATTGTTGCTAAATAAATTTAATTAGATATTAATAAATAAAATATCATTTTTTATCCTTTCAAGACTTTTAAAGTATAAATTAAAAAAAA